GTGTGCATATATATATATATATATTATATAGTGTACGTAGAAATTAACGTTATCACATTGTATAGGTAGTTAACTTGAAACAGGCATCTCGCTTGCCTATTTCCCCCTTTTTTTTTTTTTTTTTGTCAAATCCAAATGATCTGTCACTACTTTTGTCTTGGTCCACACGCAGTATTGACCCGAACAAACATCTTAACTTGCTTCTCAAGCTTATCTTCTCTATATAAATTCCCAAACCCAAATCTCTCATTTACCCCCTCCCCTCCTCCATTTCATCTAAAACCTCACACCCTTTTTGTCTTTTTCCCTGTTCCCCAACATGAAGAGAGAGGGTCGCCAACATGGTATGGTTCGAACATGTAGAATCCTCCCATCCCCCTTGGACCCCAGACCGCCCGCCTCTAAGTTTGTAAATCAGTTTGATTCTCTTCCCACCGCTGGATTATTTACCAAGGTGCAGTCCAAACCCACAAATCATTCTAAATTTACAGGCAAATGCAGTCGGCCTAAATGTTTTGGGTGTCACATCCATCCTGCTCGCAAGGCCAAAGACAAGACCAAAGGCTCCTACAAGCTTAAGTCTGATGATGTCGTTGCCAACTATAAATTGACATCTTGGAAGGTCGTCGATCGATGTATAGGTTCGAATTTACCTGGATTTTCTAACTCTAGAATTTTAGAAGATTTGTCCGCCATGTACGTAGATGACTACGATCATGATCTTGAAGATAACGAATCTGATAACCACTCCGACGTACGTGACCAAATCCATGATAAATCAACTTTCGATTCTCAATCTTCAGAAATTAACAATAACAACGACACTAACAATGGTTTGGAAGATGACGACGACTTCAGTTTTTGCGACGTGGAAATCATCTTAGATCGAGCTCAAGGAGACGAAGGTTGGTGTATAGTGGAAGAAATGTGAAGTCCAACTTATTTGTATTTGTATTGTATTGTATTGTATTTTAATCTGTAAATTTATATTTGATGTGAAATTTTAAGTTCCTTCTAATAAATTTTCAGTTTCAGAACTTATAAATCATTAGTTATGTTCGTTGTCATCATTACACATATATATACATACACATATATAATGTAAATATAAGCAACTTTCTTCCATATAATTAACGTAATTGAATCATTTACTCAATGGTACTTGATACGTGTGGGACATCTTTTGTTTTTATTTTGTGTATATATATATATATATATATGATGAAATCTCAATTGCGTGACGGATTACACAATATATATTAAGATAAATTACATAACAATTATAATCAAATCTACAGTTCTGTGAAAAAATAATAATAATAATAATTTTTTATATAAAAAATATGTTTCGACAATTAAATAATTTTTTTTAATATATTTCCACGTCACAGTTACGTATATTATTAAATAAAAAATAGTCGAAATTATTTTATTGGTCGGGTCCAGAAATAATTTTATCAAAAACTGACAAAAAATATTCAATGTAAGGAAAAGTCAAAATAAGGCGGGAGTTCAGTAACCAATAGGAAGAAGCCACGTCATATGAATCCACGTGGGTGTCACGCGAGCATCACGAGGACCCGGCCTGTTTCCTTCTCGCTAACCGAACAGAGAAAGCCCTAATTTTTACAATTCTTCCAATTGCTACTCCCTTGCTCTGAACAGAGCTCTAGTTACTCCCGCCATTTCCGACAAACATCAGAAGATCTCCTCCGTCAATAGTGCCGGAGCATCAGGAGGTTTGCATTCTTGTTAACACCGTATCATTTCCATTCTCCTTTCTTTCTTTCTTTCTTTCGAATCTCCTTGTCTGTGGTCAATGCTTGAGGTGAGTTTTTATGATTGAACTCTGTTTGTTTGTGAGAAAATTGTTGGAAAAAATTGTCAGTCTTAATTTTCTGTCTGATTTCTCTTCAAATTAAAGAGCTTTACCGAGCCAAATAATAAAAATTGAAAATTATTCTATATATATAATATTCTTTTTTGTGCGTAATTTCTGAACTACTCAATTCAATGCTGAGTTCAGTTCTATGAATTTTCTTCTGTTGTTGTTGGTATTTGTTTGCTTAAATATTGAGAATTGACTACTGGTTATAGTCACATTGTTAGTTTACTTATTTGTTTGCTTGTTTCTAGGAAATCAAAGAATTTGCTTTATGAAGTGATTTCAGTTTCGGGTTTTTGGTATTTCGTCACTCTTATTGCATTTTATCTCCCTGTTCATTGGCCTTGAAAGGTATTGCTTTGCACTGAACTGTATATATATCGATATTTTTTTTTTTGGATTGCTATCTCAAGTATTGCTACTATTGGACTTCTTATGTCAGGATATGGATCAAATAATTAATATTCTTTTTTAGGTGGTCTGCGAGCTGCTGCTCAATTAATTAGTTATGAAATACCATTAACTCTATGTGTTTTATCAATATCTCTACGAGTGATTCGTTGAGACATAAGCTTTTCTTTTCCCTATGCCTTTTGTTCTAGAAAAATAAGTTAAATAAATTGAATAAATATCTTTATTATTCGTCTTTGGGATTAATAAAGTAAATTAGATAGTTATATGAGTGAAAGAAAACAGCTTATGAATTGGCAGTAAATGTGTGTGTGTGTATAAATATGTTTATATGTGCATATATGATAATATAGCATACCTGTGAAGCTTGATGGTACCTAATTTTTATGATAACAATATGGAGCTCACCTTGTTTCTTATGCTTTATTTCTTTTAACCATTGTGAGAATATCAAGTGATTTTTTTTAAAAAACAAATTGACGGACCTGATGTTTGATGTTTTTCCATGTATGCTTGTGGTGAGCCTCTGTTATGGAGACCTCTGTCGATATTCAACATCCTGTATATTTAACTGTTATTTATGTAGATTTGTTCTTGTACCTGACTTTGAGCTGCTTTTTCTATGGTCTCCTCTTTTCTAATACAGGTTAATGGAAAATGCTGAGCCTAATATATCCATTCAACCGCTGAAAGAAGATGCTAAAAATAAGCTTTCACCACCGCAGGGGTTGGAAATTAATGATGAGCAGGAGTGCCCATACTCAGAAACTTCCTCTGTGGAAAAGAGTCAGATGGTTATGCAAACTGAGCTTGATTTTCAGAGCTCAGATGTTTCCTTTCTTGGTAAGAGTCAGATGGAGAGTAATGGTGAGAGCTGCCAGACCTCACAGGTTTTCTCCTGTCAGCAAGTGTGAAATGGATGTTGACGGCAAGCCAGAGTCTGAGAGCCCAAATGTTTCTTTTAATTATGTCACAGGGGCTGGGTTTCCTGTGAAAAATC